TCACGCATACTTAATACAAATTTTAAACTTATATGGCTTTCTCATAGATCCCTTAACCAGATCTGGACCAAACTGAAATGGGACCACAAGCACTAACTCAAATAAAACAAGAATCATCAAAATCGGTCTACCCAGTAAAAAGTTATGAGGTAACAAACGGAAAAAAAATACAGGCGAATTGAGAACCTCCTCCTTTTTTGAATTGGTTAAAAACTTATTAATTTATTGTTTGTTTATTTATTTAATCTTAATTACCTAGTGAAAAAGACAAATGGCGAACTTAATGCCAAAGGCATTCTCTACCAGTCAACTAGTATATTAAGCACAAAACTTAAAGTAGCGACAGACATCACGAATGTTGATATGTACATTAGTATACGCTTATATTGCCGATTTTCTAAATAGGTACTATTTTGTGTGTGTATCTATAAGATTTACAACCATTTTTTTATGTATACGGTACCTTGTAAATTCATTAAGACTGTAGCAATGATATTATTGTTTTATTATTAATAATAATTAAAGCAACGATGGTTAAGAGAGCGTTTAGTAACAAGGAACAACTATTCAAGGTGAGATTGTCAGTCTACATACTTAAGAATATTAACTAGAGTTGTATAAGGCTACGATGAAAAAGATTAACCGGATGGAAATACAATTGATTGAATAAGTATTAGGAATCGCCAACGAAAAGAGAAGTCTATTACGGCTGCCGTATAATACATTGGTTGACATCGGATATATGTATTATTAGAACATATATGTAGTATGTTTAATATATCGAGTTAAACCCAACACAATTGAACGTTGAGTGCAGTTTGATTAAATTCAATATTAATCAAATCGAAGCCAATTTCGTCACGCGGTAAGCCTGCTGATAACAGTATAAAAAGAAAAGGGAGAATGTGTGCACACTTCTTATAACAAAGCAACTTCTTTTAAACCGGACTGGAAGCAAAAATAAGCTAACGACAAGTAAAACTTTGATTGTGATACTATAGAGAATCATAAAACGAAGGAAAGTTACTTATAACAACTGGCCCAAACAATAATAGCACTAAACATGAGCTGTGGCTTTGGTATTCCATGGAAACGACACTGTTAAAAAAAACCGGTCAAGTGAGGATCGAACTGGCACCGGCGGGCTCCTTAACCGGAAAGGAGAAATAAAAAAACACGTTGGTTTTATGGCATCCCTTCAAATAATTATTTTATTCCATATTTTGGTATTTGATATTACAGCTCCAACAGAAATACACCATGTGTGAAAATTTAAACTGGTGGTAGACAGAGGGACGGACAGCGAAGTCTTAGTAATAGGGTCCCGTTTTTTACCTTTTGGGGAATGGAAAGCTAGTATGCTCATAAGTTATTGCGCAATATGGGTATAAGATAAACAATCCAGTTACGCAAGTTTATGGTTTTCGCTAGACTTATTTTAAGAAACTAACTAACACCCGTATCTTTACTATAGAAAAAGTAATTACTTAAGCTAACATTTTTAACAAATAAATATGATTCTGAATGATGTAAAAACTGTTAACAGTAAGAATACTAACTATTATTACTAGCTATTTTCATTCAATTTCATTCAAATTCTCGCCTATTGGTTAAAAATATATGCTTAAAATGTGTTATTTTCTCAAGTAATTACTGATCTCAATTAATTACCCTGCCTGGCATTGATTAACATTGTGTAAATAGTAAAATTGTGGAGGCGGGATCAGCTCATGCGACTCCTGAACGCTCTCGTTGTACATTTTACTCGTATATAGGACGACCAGGCAACAGGCGGTGGTCCAAGCCGTGAAGATTGGATTCCACTAGCTTTTCTAATGTGTCTCTTACCTCTGCGTTCCACCGAGTCTAATGCGACGAGCTGATACTTAGTTGAGCCATCCGTCAAGTGACTACAGTACTCCATACTCCACCAAACTTGCATTTTGCATACAGTCAAAAGCTGTACCGGCGTGAAGTACCGCTTAACCTTGTTTAAGATGTATTTCTTCGACGTGAAGAGGAAAAGAAAGAAAAGGTTCACAACATATCAGAGTGTGGCATTTCCGTCAGCGGATAACCGGACAATTAAACAAGCAAATCCTACATTTTTACAGAGATAAGATACACTCAATTTGCTAAAGCAAAAACAATATTGAACGGTTTGGGCAAAAAAAAACATCACAGCATACCAATCGGATATTACTCATTTATTCCGACGAAATTCAATCAGATGTCAGTACCGGGGGAAAAAGCTGACGGTACGTACTTGTGTTAACGTTGTCAGAAATTGGAATCGAGATGATTTATATGAAAGAATCCGTTCATATTATTCTACTGTTCGATGGATTTGTATTTTTTCCAGATAATTTCAATTTTAATAAGAAACGCTTTTATTAATAAGTAGTTATAAGAAGTCGCGTTTAAGAAGATTTCTAAGAAATGAGACGTAATGTGGCATTATAATAGTGGCAGCGAAATTTATTTTATAAAGAAAATATGTGATTACTTTTTTTCGTTTTTACCTAAAAGAGAAAAGCCGAGATCTTTTAAAGGATCATTCGTGTGCCTTTATCCTATAAAAAGAGTATGATAATGAGAAGAAAATGAAAAAATATCTAATAAAGTTTAGAAGTAACTATCATACTTTTTTTCTTTGTAGAATATTTAATAAATTAACTTTTTTTCTCATAACATTTATTTGTTTTATTCTCATCTTTTCTATTTGTAGTTTGTAATCCTTTATTTGTATAAAACACTCATAAGTCTAGTAAGCGAAGAGGGATTATGATCACAAGGTCTACGTCCTCGTCAGTACGTCAAAGTAGAGCTTAATACGTTCCCTTAACACTACTTAAGCGTATATAAAGGTAGAGAAGGAAAATCACAGTATAATAAATAGACTCTAAGGATCACTATATACTTTTCGAGATCACTAGTATAATAACAACAGTATTATGATATCAAAGGTTGTGCTTATAATGCTATAGTGATATTACGAGTACGTTGACATTAATAATGAACTGGCCACAAGACATTAATCTAAAAAATAATGATTTTTTTATAATGTCAAAAAACAATCAGTTGTCATCTACTTTAACTAACATACCTTAACAAACTCTAAAATCGCCAGGTGTTAGAATATTATTATGGACACAAATCTATCCTGGAAAGAGCAAATACAGAAAAATCGTAATAAAATAACCAGGTTTACATATGCTCTGTATAAACAAACTGTAGCATATGTACTTTGTATAAACAAACTGTCTAGGGTGGCGTGTAAGAGCATGGCATGACCGATCACGCGGGTCCAGTGCGGATTAGTGGATGTTTGCGACTGCAGATGAAGCCGGGACCTTCCGAAGCACGGAGGAGCTCTAGATAATTTTTGGTCACCATTTGGAAAATTGCTTGATAACCGTATCACACGCTCAGCGCGCTAACCACTGCTCTATCGAGGTCCTTACAACAACAAAAAAATGCTACATTTAGTAAAGCTATATTACTGCTTTAAATATATATTTTAAATATACAAAAGCACGTCGTGCTATCCCCATAACGTTTAATATCTACAATAAGTTTTGAACTAAACCTTCAATTATTTAAGATTTAAAATTGATAGGAGAAAGCTAATGTTGTATAACCCGACCTAGTGTTGATTGTCTATTGACATACATTCCTTTTGCACATTAGCTTTGGCACAAATAAACAGAAGGCACTTAGCAATGACCGTGAAACAAAACTCGGTAAACAAACATATTCCATGGAAATAAAACAAAACAACTAAATTAGAACTCGATCTCAAGAGCATATAAAATGTTAGTGCTAATATAGGTATAATGAATAATATTACATATTCTCTACATTAGATAAAATGAGAATGGTTTTTGTAAATATCATTACTCTTATTAGAGCTGGTGAGTTTCTTGCTCGTTCTTCTTATCAGCCAAAAGACGTCCTGAACGAGTGGTAGGGAAAAAATGTTGGACGATTCAAAAGTACTTTTAAGAAGTCTATTTGAATAAAGATTATTTTGACTTTGACTTTGAATAAAACAAATATAATATTTTCTACCGTAATAAACACTGACGATATTTTATATTCGGGATCATAATACTCGTAAATATTTGCATCTATACTTATATTATAAAGAGGATAGATTTCATTGTTTGTTTGCATCGAATCGTCACAACACCAGCCCTTTTACGTCCCCACTGCAGGGGCTCAGGCCTTCCTTATGGATGGTTAAGGAGGATGGGCCATGACCCTCCACGCTGGCTAAATGCGGATTGGAGGGTATTAACGACTGCAAATGCAGCCGGGACCAACGGCTTAACGTGCCTTAAGAAGCATGGAGTAGCTCGAGATAATAATGTTTAGGTCACCCATCCCGTGACCGACCCTTGCGAAAGTTGCTTAACGACTACGATCGCGGGCCGCGGCGCTTATCAACTACGCCACCGAGCTACTTTACTTTGCATCGAATAGGCCCTGAATAATTAAGCACTGCAAAAATTTTTAAAAATTCTTTAACCTACGGAAAGCAAAAGCTGGTGATATTATTAACTAGGTAAAGTATTAACGACATATTATTGGTAGGTATTAACAATTAAAACATAGCCTAGACAGTAAAAATTAGAAGATTATGCGAAATCATGATTGAAAACCAATGAAATCGTCGAAACATATCATATTTCAAAGAAAAAATATTTACTATTTTTGTTATATAAAGGAAATATTTTTTCTAAATATAAGAATAAAGAGATATGAACATGAATTGTAATAAATGGTACAAATTACGTATTGTGAGTCCATTAATACGAGTATAAATACTCATAAAAGATTTTTCACATTTCACTTATTCGGGAACAAAGCAAATTTACCCGGCCGTTCTTTTTGTTATTGCAATAAAAGTATAATATCAAAGGGTTTTCCAGTGCTGGCTGGTAAATACTTGTTGCATTATACGAGCGCAGAAAGTTTCGTTTATAAATTTTCAGCGTAGTCGGGCTTTTACCGTCGCGAAGTGCGGACCTGTCGTGTAAGAACCGCGAGTTGGTAAATAATTCGTGAGTTCGGAACGTCGCTAAATTAAAAAAGAAATAAAACCTTCTTTCAAAGAATTCTTATTCCAAATTTGAATTGTTTTTTTTATTGTGGTGGTTTTTGTTTATTATTTATTCATTCATTCGGAGTGCTTTGATGTCAACTATGTATATGGTGTGATGTAGTGTACAAGTGTGCAACAATATTAGCGTTTGTGGGAAAATCCGAAGTTTTCTGACACTTACTGTTTCTTATTTGGAGATTATAAGGTGAGTTTAGTGCAATGAGATTATATAATTAAATAATCATATTTAATATTAAAAAAAAAATTACACTAGGCAGTACTATTATACCTTATTGTAAAACTAATTAATTTTTAAATAAAAAAAAGTCTTAAATTAATAGAAAAATAAAAAACGGGAAACAATAAATTTTTCTATAATTACTTATGGATTTCAGATTGTCGTAATGGAATCATAAATGTCTTTTTATAGTCGTAGCCTATAAATAAAAGGCAACGAATGACGTAATATTCTACTTACTACTCCAGAGATCGACTTATAAAGACAATTGAAATTTTAATTCGTTTGAGATGGCAAGGCTGTTTTCACCCTAATTGCTTTAATATTTTACCATTAAAGCAGTAGTAATAAATATGGTGGGGCTAAATTATGGTACTCGTAGATAGATTAACTTTTCAAGTTAAAATACATTCTACTCGTACAATAAAGACAATAAGAATTTGAAAAAAAAAGGAAAATAGTGTTTTTTATCTCGCGATTGCGTCACGATTATTCTGAAGTTAAAACTAAACTTGTTTTAAATGAAATTAAAACCTCTTTTCAAAGGATTTTATTCCAATTTTCAATATTTTATTTTGTTTATGGATTTCAATTGTTTTTATTTATTAAAACGTCTTGAAGAAAAAAAATATTTTCTTTTTTTTCTTTTATTGATTTACTCACGTTGTGTTTTCATTCGGTCAATTTGTTATTGATTGAAATATCCTTGTAGACTTTTTACAATCATATTGTTTGTGTGGCAATTATTGAAGCTTATTTATGTCTAAATCAGTGCGTGCATTCAGGTTATTATGTCATTAAGGACAACTACATTTGGTTTATAATAGAGACGTAGGTTGATGTTTTTATATCGTATCAACAAACGATAATAGGTACCTGCCTATTATGAAATGGAAGAAAAAATAAAAATAGAACATAATTTACGTATTATACATAGTAACGTATAATAAATAAATAACTGTACCATTTTGATGTAAAAGAAATATCTATTTTTGTACCAGTTAAATATATAGCAAGCAATTAATTAGCATAATATGAGTAAGAGACTGTAAAAATATAATTTTAAACACGAACAATACGTTGATATTTCAACACCTTTTTTTACTTTCTTTTAGAGGTTCCAAACCAATAGAAGAAAGGGTTTATTATGAAATCAAAAATAATTGATAAAAGTATCATACTAACGCAACCAGTGACCAAAAATATTTTATCTCGAGCTCTTCCGTAATTCGGAAAATACGTTAAGCTGTTGTCGTTAAGTCCCTAACTTCCACCAATCCGCATTGGGCCCGCGATGTGGGTCATAGTTTAATCTCTCTATTCGATCCGTGGGGCATTAGGCTAATGATGGCAATAGCCACATATTGATATTTAAAAAAGATTAAACCTTAATGCTATGCTTCATTTAGTTGATTATTTAAACAAAATCGTCGTCTTGTAAAATGTAAATTTATAAGTAAAATATGTTTAACGAACTGCTTAACTTATGTTGATGAATTTAATTCGTTTAATTGTATAAATTCGCTTTTGACTGTAGAAATAAATGGAATACGGTTGACGACTAATTTTTATTTGTTTATCCGTCAAGTAGATTATTGAATTATATTAAATATGTTCTTTTTTTATTTCTAGCGTATTTTTTATCCGTAAGTTAGATTAATGAAGAATATTCAATAAGTATTTATTTATTTCTTGCGTAATCAATACATTACGGCGATATATCGAGTTGAAATGTCGTATGACTTTTCGTATGACTTGTCGTATGAATTTGGAACATTTTCTACAAAACTGTGACGTAGCGAGCCCCCATTCGTCAACTTTAATGCTTATTATCTAAGCCGTTTTTTGTTAAAATTTCAGCAAAAATTATACATATACATTATTCTATTATCTGATAGACAGACTAAATAAAATTCTTTATTTTTACCCAGTCGTCAAAGGGTATTATCGAGGGAACAGGTGCTAAGCCATGAGTTTGTTTTTAACTTGTTCGATCGCGTTTACGTAAACGTGGGTTTGTTATTGAACTATCGTGGTATACTGCGGTTTGCAGCAGATGGCGCACATCAAATACTATAATGGTCACGTTTTACGCGCCTCTAGCAAATTCAGACGGATTTTATTTAAGAAAACAATCAAAACATCTTACTTACCTAATAACATCAACCGTTTTCTTCAAGACTAATCATTTGTAACATAGAAATTTGTATGGAATATACATAATTTAATATCTTCATATCATGAGTTCTGATGTTTATTTAGTAAGTATTACTAGGGATCACCCTATATTGTTGAAATTCGACCTTAGTTTAATCATTATTGTTTTTCTAAGATTGTTTGACATATAGTGTGATAAAGTGTGATTGTTTTTTTTTAATGTAAAATATGTGCGTTCTTTTATTCGTTTCCTTATTTTCATGTCTCCGTCCGCAAAAAGGGGTTATTATATTGAATATCTAGAGCTGTGATGTATTGTAAAAAACAAATATGTTAATTCGATAATAATGGTAGTATGATAAGATTCTAATATGCCTTTTAAAATTGATGACAACTGACAATCGGGCGAGATTCTTTGATCGATTTTTAATAGTTTCTGAGTAAAAACTGTACAAAAATATAACATACATTTTTCCATTGTCTTCCTTTACTATAATGTACGTTGGTCATCAAAATTACATGTTTGTATTCAAACTTAAGACCGGGGGACGACGTTATATTTTTAAATAAATTTCTTAGCATAAAATCAACTAAATTACATTTACACACAAAAAGTTAAATACTTCTTTTAAGGTTAAGGTTTTATTATGAACTCAACTCAATTATACTCTTAAAACGTTTACTTGTTACAAGCTTTTATTTAGTTGCACCTTGATATATAACTTTACGTTCTGATGAAAATTAAATTATATATAGTCGATATTGTTGTTAACCCAAAATGGCCGCCGTAACGAAATGGCGGCGTGCGTATATCTGACCCCACACATTATGGGTATCAAATGAAAAGGCTTAACTTGTAGAGCACAAGCTTGTTTCAAAAAATCGTTGAATATATTTACTGTTATCTCTATTAAGATTGAAGTAAACAAAATACTAAAAATATAATAAATATAGAACCTCCACACTCGTTAATTCTTTCGGTATGGAATTGTGAAACTTTTCTTCCAAACTGAATTTCACCAAGTATAATTGCTTGAACCCATGTGGAATAATACCCAACAGGTTGAGTAAAACTTCTCGATAAGTTTTAGTGAAGTAGTTAACACTACAATAAGGGACTATCCTAACTTTAACTTTGATTGGAGATCTTCGACAAGCGAATGATGCGATTTTGATGAGATGAAAATTAGTATGTTAAAAGAAGTATTTTAGTGATAAATCTCAAGATGTTCTAATACACTGCCGCCGGTTACTCTCCCGTGAAAAAAGTCGTGTGATAACACGTGATCAATTAGGAAAATCATTGGTCGATCAATTGGATTCTCCAAAGGCGGAATAAAGGTGTGCAATCGTTGCAGTAGTTGTAAATCGTTTTGCAATTCATTCCCCTAGTAGACGGAGACGTGCAATGTATGACCAGCACAGGCCGGTGTACAAACCTTCTTGTGTGTCCCCATTAAAAGTAAGAGATGCGCTACTGTGTATCCTCTCAATCTTACCCATCCGTGTTGGAGAAATGTATCTGGCCTACCCTGCGTGGACCCTACCGATCGAGAAAAGAGTATAATTTTTGATGAAAGTCACTTTTATTTTTAGGACATAGGTGGTCACTAAGACGGGATTTTATGAAATTTTCTCATTTCTGGACTTAAAACTAAATCACGCGTGCGAAGCCGCTGGCGGTAGGCTAGTACTTTATATTGATTTATTAATGAGTGTGACTCTGCAGCCAGCATATTAATCAGCAATCGAAAGATTCTAATATTGTAATGGAAAGTGACTTCATAGTCTGTTTCCATCTCTCTGTGAAATAAAACAGTGAGAAAAAAAGCTCATTTCTTCAAAAGTGCGTCGTGCCCTACCATTTATTGTGTCCGAGGTTCCCGCATCCAAACTTTTTGTCTTTGATCTTTAATATCATTTCTTTTTTATTATTAATCACTTTTCGTAATTTGAAATTTTGAGTAACGCGATATGCTCTTTCTGCACATCAGTGCGTGAAAATTTTTCTACCAGTATCTACATAACACGAGATTATAATTAAACATATTTATTTAAAAACATGTTAATGTTTTAATAATTGTTCGAAAGGAAAACCATAAACGGGGTATGTAATTGTTTTATAAGTAATTTTGGTAATACATACATTCGAACTATTCATATTCTTTTTTTTTGTTGTTACAGTGATTTTGCATATCCATAAATATACCTACCATCTACTAGTTAGTATAAAAGACTCCTGGAATATGGATCCTGTTGTGTGCATTACTGCAATTTCCCGCATTTTTCATAAGATTTTGGTCGACAAAATAAAATGCATCTTCACAATACTTAAAATAAACCCTCGTCTTTATTTCTATGATCAATGAAACTCTATGTGATTGTTTTATGACTTCAATGGGCTTTAATAATGATAAACTAATGAGATTTGTAAGATTAAGGGCTATAACATCTAAACTATCTATTCTACGATACAAAATACTTTACATGACCTTGAGAACTTTATATATGGCCTTGGCTAACAGTGTGATCGGATATGGGTTAAGTAGTTATGGAAGAACGTTCAAAATACACTTGATTAATATCTATAACCTAAAGTTAAAATTACTAAAGTTAATAGTTCCGAAAAAAATAAAATCAAACTTTTTAAATGATTTAGATTTATTTAAATATTGTGGGGTCTTGCCAATATATAATAGTGTGAGGCTCGCCATATTGATTGATGAACATCACGATAGCAATGAATTGATTGCCTATACTCGACCAAAGACATTGAGAAAGTTACAAAAATCAAAGAAATATGTGTTACC